GTACTTCATTCGACTATCAAAAACTATTTTATTCTCGAACCATGTAAAACTTGAACTCGTAGAAAGTTCATCGTCGATTTTCACTCGAGACCAACTTTTTCCGTCCTACCAGGTTCACTCGGCTGAGTAGGAAATTATGCGAATTCCTTACGGCGCGACTATAATAAGTCCACTAAAGCCCCGTTTCTATGACTGTCACACGAAACGAAAGTCGAAACCAACAACTTTGAGAACGCTCGAGGAAGACGCTGGAAACTCGAGTAAACTCGACGATTATTCGCGCGAACGGAAGTTCAGTCGTCGTGAGAACCGTCGAAGCTTTATTCGAGCTTACGCGAAGCTCGGAGGACTGTAGCGAAGAATACCTGAATGAAGGAAAATAGAAGAGATGGATATCTTGGGTGGGGGGTGGAAGGGGGATGGGTGAGTTCGAATAACGTTGCTGTCCCTCGACACTGGAAAGCTCAAGCGTAACGACGATACGAGGCGAAACGGGGAGCTGGGGAAACTTGGCTTTCTGTGAAAAGCACGCGACGTTCTCAAAACGTAACAAAAGCTCTCGCAGGCGGCTACCTGAGCATCCGAGGCCGAACAATACGCAAGAAAAATTTCCTCTGCGAATCGTACGGAATTTCTTGGAGAAACAAAAAAGGAAACCTTGTTAAACGACTCCCATAATTCCGCGAGCGCGTAATACAGGGTGTACAAGTTACAATATAAAATATATACAACCGTGTCTATAACGTTAATTCCCAGGTCATTACGTAAACAGGGAACAGGCTTCGTTCTTTATGGCGTTATCGAACCGTCCTGAACACAAAGGAGTAACGTTTTGCATGAAGTAACGAAAAGGGTGAATATCGGAGTCCAGTGTGTAAAATATACAAAATTTGTGAATATATTCCTCGCCAACGGTTCGATTCTCTTGGTGTAGCGCGAGGACTCATTAATCATAGTCCTTAGCGATGAATACCGAAAGGGTTGAGAAACGACCTCGATCGTCAAACCCGACAGTGACCCATTAACATTCGACAGGACGATTACTACGGAAACCCCAAGAGGATGACAATTTTTCCTATAAATAACATTTCGCTGTAGATGGAAAAATTGTATAGATCAATCGAATTGTTCGATCGTCGAGAAATTACCTCGGTTAAAGTCACGCTCCTCTTTACCGACCTCGAACAATGAAGACCTTCGGCTTATTCGCCGCGCGAACAAGTTAATTGCGCTCATTGTGCCACGTGAAAAAGAATACAGGCGGCGTATGGTGTATTTCTCACGCGGTATAACGAGTCTTCGCTGTCCTATGTACCTGTGTATTTTATTCGACTCCAAATTTTTATTTACAAAATCGCACATTTTTGTACGCGATTATTCATAGGAACGAAGCTTCGTAAAAAGTCGACTGTTCTGAATTTCAACGAAAGGCTCAACGACTCCGCCGCTCTAGTCAAATCCCGTTAGGCATGCGTGCAACGACCGTATCGTGCAAAGGCTGAACGTTGTAATCTGAAATCAAGACTTTTTTTTTTCTTTTAATGTCTAAAGTTAAAATGGGTTACATTGATGTATTTTCTGTTATGTATCCTTATACGGTTACTGCTGGGGTTGTCGCCGACGGTCAATGTACCGTTCAAGAATCGGACATTGCTAGACGCCGTTATTATCGTCAAGGTAGAGACTCGACGAAAGCTCGGATCAATTAACGCTCCGACCAGAAAGCACGGCGTATGTGCAACGATTTGTTCGCGTGTTTTCCTACCATTCTATCTGGTGCTGTTCGAGCCGACGCCGACGCCGACGCCATCACCATTTTCCCGTTCTCCGGCGCTCGCTCGTTTCAGGCTGGCCGGTCTGGCCACAACCTGGATACGTACGATGAAAAATTCGGCAACGAACACGCGATTAATTCACGTTACGTATACGCATTTGCATATCAATTTCATTTCGCGAAAAAATCACTAATCCCTCTCGGCATGCGACTGGGTGGACTTTTAACAGAGCTTTTGGATTTTGACTAACGAACAAAAAACATTGTATTGTCAAAATACTTTTCGTACTTTTCGGCTTGCTAGATTAGGTATTTCGAAAAATAGTAATTTTTATTTACTCTCAGTAATATGGAATATTACAAATATTATTACAAATATTAATAATATGCAAATATTTCACGACAAAAATTTACTAATACATTATTGTGTGTGTATTAAAGGAGAGCGAGAAATACGTATCGTTGGATATACGAATTTATGATCGTTTCAGAACGAGCTATAGTTTTTCGAGTAATGAAAAATTAATGGAGAAAACGGACAGGTAAACATCCAGTAAATCCATTTCTCGATTATTCCCTAAAACGAAACCCCGTATCAATTCCTGCGAACTCGCTCGTGTATATTATACATATGTAAACACATATATACTGAAATATTACATAATATCTTATATCTAACCGTTACGTCAAATACATCCGTAAAATTAATCGAAAATCGAACAACGACTTCAACTTACATTTAGGTAAATTACACCTGGAATCATTACGATAAAGTGCGAGTAAACCTTTTAAATTGTAATCGTACTGTACTTAAAAAATACACGTATTCAAAATCACATTAATTAAATCAGAACAGATCATTATGTCTTTCCTATACAGCTCCCTAGAAATCCAATGTATTTTCAATGCACATAAATACACAGTACCGTTCGCGCAATTGCACTATTGATTACGGCGCAACGGAGCAACACGAGTTCTACTTACAAATAGTTAGACTTATAATACTCGAGTAGATTAATATACCCATTAGTATTCCCACCGATCCGATACTCGTGCATAGTAAGTAGTCCCTCGCTTAGAATACCTTCACGTTCTGACGCTCAATCCTAATTCTGCAGATATGGGCCTTCGTTGAAATTATGCGAAAGGGAAAAGACGACGACGATACCGAAGAAGCTATTTCCTCAGGTTTTATGTTCGCGACGTGAACTCCTACTGCTTTTGCAGATGATAGAATTCGAAAAGCTACGCTACTCGACGCGCAGTCATGGTTATACGTATATAAATATTTTTTTGATTTCACGCTAAAAAAAAATTGCTTTGGGTCATTTAAATTTGGCAAATTTATCTACGATTTTAGAATTTTATCAGGACACATATATACGTACAGCTGATTACGACCAAGATTTTTGAGTTTAAGGAATTTTAGGATTTACTGGTCTCAGCTGCCCCTGGAGCGAAGGGAATTCCAGAGACCCAACCCCTGAGACCGATTCTCTCTGGCAACCCTCCCCCCTTGCACCCTCCTACTCTTACTCTGTCTTCTCAATCGGAAATCAATAGCAACACCGCCGTAACAACCCCATTGTTTTTGGTCGCCTTTAATCACGTTGATACTACTTCGCTTCTGAAATAATGTTATCGGATGTCATTAGTATACCTTGCCGCAAGCTAATCGGGTGAGACCCCTTAGTCAGGGGTGGTATGACGCCCTCTCCCACCCTCCGCCCCATTCTGCCACCCTTACAAGATGATTTAAAAAGCTTTTGACATCGCGGAAAGATCGGTTTAAGGACATCACTCGGATGGGATGAGATTCGAATTGTTTTCAACATTGAACACCCTAACAATTTTATAATATCGTATTATGGATATTTTCACGAAAATATGTATTTTCAAGTATAAAGTATTCCATTATTCATTCGAATTTGAATACATTACATTGCCCACATATTTGATTGCATTGCCCATATATTTACACGTGTAGAATTTTATTGATTTTACTATATTAAATGAAATTATGAGAGCAACGAATTATTCACGTGACATTAATTAACAAATACGCCAATGCACCCCTGGTATAATGTTATAGAGAGAAATATTAACGAAGGGCCCCAACACCCTCCACCCTTAATGCCCTACGGCAGAAGGTATCGACTGCACTGAAAACGTGACTTGATTTCAAAGGTAGTAGTAAGTAACGAGAGAGAGTAAGTAAGAGTAACCGGAGTAAGAGAGAGAAAGAGAGAGACAGAGTGGAAGAAGAGCGTGAGACACTCTAGCAAGAAGAAAATCTACGATTGCGCGGAATGGTACTTGGTGTGTCGAATGAAAGGAAGGCGTGGCAGCGGTCGTTGTCCGCTTAATGCCAATGTCAATGTCAGGGTTTTCTCAAAACGCTAATGCACCCTCTCGCGGCTAAAATTGCAAGGGCGTTGATGCTCTTTTACGGCAGAAATTATAGACACCACCTTGCGGACAATACCGTAACGGTACGAAAGGTATGGTCCAGAGAGAATTGCGCAAGCTTCACAGCGCAAGGGGTAAGTGACTGAGTCGGATATTTACCCTCCAGTAACTTTTGGTACGTTCCAGAAGTTTTCCTAGCGCGGTCGGTAAAACAGGGATACTCTTTACCGAGCGGAAGAAAATTCAGGTACCTTAAACACGACGGTAAGAAGCTTGCGGATAACTCTTTCGATTTCTTTTTATACGGGGTTGCAATCCCTGTAATCTATCAAATCAAATCAAATCTGAAATCAAAATTAATTATTAGATAAGCGTATCTAGCCACCCTTTTTATTTCCAGGCAGCTATATACATGAAACGTCAACACGTTGTATTAATTGGAAATGAAATTTCAAACTATTGCAATTAATACAATTATATCAGTATCGATCTTGTATTTCTTTTTTAATACCCATCTAAAAAACTTCTTCAACGTACTGTATATAGGGGGTGGATAGGATCGGAGCCCTGGACCAGACGCTGCACTCGATACCAACGTCACTTTTCCATTGCAAATACGTCGGCGAACTTCAAAGGCCTGACGAAGTCAAGGGACACGTGTGTGCGTAAGTCATTTGCTTGTGGCAGGTTAAATTAGTCGTATATTTTTCATCAAGGTTTTTCCAAAGGGGTTGAAAATCAAACACGATGCCAGATGACATTCTCGAGGAATATTAAAGAGCAAGATTAAAACGTCTTTCGACAATGAGACTCTTACCTTCTGCTTATCGAGAAGCTGAAGGATCTCGTCGATGTCGCCGACGACGACGGCCTGTTGTCGCAGCATCTCTTCTTCGACGGTGAGCCAATCGCGTATCTGAAAACACATAAAAATTAAGTCGAACGCGAGTTAATGAGAGACTGTGCGATACCACCAGATAAAACGGTGGCACCTAAGAGGGTCGAAGAAGTGGGAGGTAGAGAGAAACAGAAGAGACTCGAACAAGGATAAAGTCATCATCAGCGTCGGTCCCTGTTTCCTTTTGTTCTCGAACGAGCGTTGTGTAGTGTTTTTGATAGCTTTAATCCTACCCTCTATACTTTCTGTTTCTCGTCCCTCTTTGCGACCAAAGGAGATTAACGTCGAAAACAATAACGGACTTTCCTCACAAAGCGAGATGCTTACGATGGTACAAAGGACAATGCAGACGGAAATACGTAATAAACAAATAAAGAAAAAAAAAAACTGTTCATCCCCCTCCTCATGAACTTGTATCACATACGACCCCGCGAATTGTCACAATACCCGCCTTGCAATAAACGCGAATTTTCGAATATTCATTCGCAGTAAAATCCAAACGTTATTCTCTTCAACTTTTAATACAAACATTTTTCGTCCACCAATGGGCTTGGGGACACCCGTTAATGAGATTTTCGTATAACCGTACACAGGTAGTACTGCGAATCGCAGACGTCCAGTAGCCCTGGACAAAAGTCAGCCCCAGGCTATTGGGGGATGCGAGCGGAAGTTAGGTGCTTGTAGGCGGAAATTAGTAGGGAGTGTCCAGTCGTAAGTGGCCAACTTCAAGTTTCAACGTTCAAGTGTATTTTCCACCCGCCGAGATACTAACCATCCGCTACAGGGGTGTATATCGAGGAGACGGGAGAGGGTGCGAATTGAAATGCAAAACTGACGAAAGGGTGTTTCGTCTTCCGGGAAACAATGGCGTCTACCAAATTGGTTTCTTTTCTCCAGCTTACTCGTTACGTACGTTTCGACGATTGTACTCGACACTCGAACAATGGCGGCAAAGTCTGCCAGGAACATTCTACTTTTCACCCCATCCAACCCTTAACCATCATCCCTTAACCTCTACACAACTTCCAAGAGCCTACGCGGAACGTTCACGCTTTTACTCCGCTTACTTTTTTGTTTTTTTTTTCTCAAACTTGTTTTCGACGTCGGCACGTTCCGCGCAAGAGGACGCCCGGCGTCTCATCAACCCTCTCTCGACCCACCAGGTAGGTACGAGGGAGGAAATTCCACGGGAATGAAAAGCGAAAGTATCGTGGGCAATTCCCCCCTCCCCCCCCTAAAAATACAAATGTTGTTATTTCGGCTCGAAGCGGCACGAAAGTTCCTTGGAAGTTTGTAAATCGTAAGAGATAAGCCGGGGTTGCTACAGGAAATTAAGGTCTCACCCCTACCGAGTCCAGACAGTCTAAATCCAGGGGTGACCTCCTTACTTCCTTCGGGACCACCCCTGTTGCGCGTCCTATAAGATCTGCTTGATTAAATAGGTATTACCGGAGAATAATTGAGAATCATGCATGTCTTTTCAGTTTGAAACTTGACCTGTCAGTCATTTCTTTCCGTTTCAATATACTTTAAATATTACATTCCCTGTTAAATAGCTACTGTCGAATAAAGAAACTCTATGTTTGCGTAGGTTAAAATTCAATAGGGATTTTCAAAAATAATATTATCAACCAAAACATCTTTGGGGTTAGAACGCGAGTCTGTTGAAAACGTGGGAATCAATAAAGCGAAAATTATGATTCTAGGAATCATGCCAATTAGAAAGAAAATCCGATTAGCATTGGTTAATTTTCGACTTTGGTAGGCAGTCTGTTGAAGCCAAGTAATTTTCATTAAAACTGCCAAAATTATAATTTTGATACCTTTCAAAAGAGAGAGAAAAAAAGTATTGCCTGCTCTTCAAAGACATACAACAAAAAATCTGTAAGATTAATTTAAACAATAATATTCGCAAATTAAGATCATACATTAAATCGGTCCTGTTATAGCAATTTTATTAAAACCGACTGACCTCGAAATTTGCCAGTTTTCATCCAACTGCGAAAATCCACAATTACTATCTCAACAATGAGAAATCCACTCTCAAGTCTCGCCAAGTTTCGCAACGGACTGCATAACGTAATCCAGAAGTAGACTACATGGTCGCCTGGTATTCCAGTTTGTGGCTGACAACTTGCAATTCCTATCCGCCGACCCTATGCAACCCTTATTCAGCCGTAACCCCCTTCCGCGCTGTAAAGTCTCAGGAACTCGCACGTAATCGGCCAAGTCTACTCGGCCGCGATTAATAAACGATCGAGCCACGCCAAGAAAGTTTAGACGCGACACGGCTGCCAGTTAATTAGATTTCATTAAATGAAGAGACACTAGGACGAAAGCGACACTATACTCTTATCCCATCCAGAACCCTCGACTATTTCATGTTACCGATATCAACTTTCGTATATTTTTCCGATCGCTGCGATTATCTAAATTCCATGTAGAACACGCGCCAAGAAACGTGTGATAAACAAAAGACAATTCAAATTGTGTGCTATTATACAGTCAAATAATACACAAGATAGAATAGGTACAAAAACAGTATAGTGTGTGTATGTACATATATATTATCTAGGCGTACGTGCAAATCAGTGTCGTTCGCTGAAGTGCATGTAGCTATGATTTATTTGACATAGAAACAACTCGTTATTCGACTAGACACGCAGTCGGGTCCGCCTGTTGTGAAATTCATAAATGGAAGTGAACGAACTGCCTGTTTTAAATATCAGAGTGTTTGAGTCTTGTTTTGGTCGAAGGTTATGTTTTTTTTTCGTTTAGTTTTTCACGCGTATAAAAGAGAACATCGATTTGTAAAATGTCAAAAAGAATTGACATGTTATTGGACGTTCCTATCTCCTACATATTCCAACGATTTCCACTGTGGAGATGCAGAGATTATCTATGGATAAAGAAAACCTAACCTAGCGAACGACGATTCGACAGTATTGGAAAAGAAGATGGAACGAAGATCGTAAAATACTTTATAGGGAAGAGAGGAGTCCGAATTATCGATTACCAGGGAAAGCAGCGTTCTACGTGTGGCTACTTGATATTCATGCGTTTTCGAAACTAGTTAATAAAACTAACAGATAGTAACGAGTTAAATATCTTAAAGTCTTTAACTTTTCGAATAATTAACACGATGCTATTTCGCGTATACTTAAATTATATATTTGGTATTTGGTAAAACAAAAAGTATAATAATTTTCATAATATTTTATGAATATCAACCAAAGAGAAGCTTCAAGGAATTGCAAAGCAAAGAAATTTTACGAAATTCCCCGAATGACGTCGGACGAATTTCGAAAGAATCGAATACCATTTTAACGATTGAACGTGGAATACTTCAAAAGAGTTTACCCCCCCCCCCACCACCACCACCACTCCCCCTAAGACACGTAAACTTTTCTCGTCGAGCAGTAGAAAAGTAAAAAAATTTCTCGATTCGCAAAAAGCCAATATTCTAGCAACCACCCAGACTCCACCCTTATTCTAACATGAAAGGAAACTTTGGACTATATCGCGATCGTGGTCGCGACACACACATTTTTCCATGGTTCAGGTAATACCGACGATCAGACCGCAGCTATACGTAGAGAAAGGAGGAAAGAAGAAAGTATCGGAAAAAAAAAGAGCAGAAACGAGAAAGATGCAGAGAACGATAGGAGAAAGAAGACGGAGAACCACTGGATGGCGAAACTCGCTTCGTTGAACAAAAGAACAACCAGAAACGCTAAAGGTAGGAAGGAATGCCAGTAGTTAGGCCATCGAATGGGACGAGGAAACGAGAAAATGTCAAGTTCCGGTTTTTCTTTTTTGCTCTTTTTTTCTTCCCAAGAATCTTTTCGCGAGGACCCGCCATTGATCTTGTATGTACCTAGGTACCCCGTAGACGACTGATCACGCAGGGGATGAAATTATACGACTAAAAGAGACCGATGTCTCTATGTAAAAATCAGCACGTCGAAAATCCGTCGCTTGTTAAGTTCCTTGGAAACGAAAAGCAATAGTCGGAAACGGGAAACAAAAGATAGGGGATGAAAAGAAAAGGGGACAAAAGATATGTACACGTGCTAGACTCTTGATAATCAGGGAAAAGGTATACGGACCGTTTACATAAATGCGTATGAATAATAGATGGGGCAAATATTTTACTTTGAATAATGAAATTGTATAGTAATTTTCATACGCAAATCTCTCCCTTACCGTTCATCCCCTTGGGCTTGAAGATACCGGTATAAGCGTCCCGAAGGAAGTTGATGTTTATCCATATGACGCTGTGATCTTATTCGCATCCACTCAAGGAATATCCGAAATTTATGGAATTAATATGAGGCAATTAGCGCCATTACTCGCTTGGGCTCTTCCTTGAGAAGGGTGGATTCACAAGAGGCGAAGGAGTCACCTTCTACCCGGTAGGGCTGGAGTTACCCGGATTCGCCAGAAGATGTCCCACAGGGAGCTTGGACTCATTTCGCCCCGTATTAACCCGGCTTGTGACGTCCTTGAGAAAGTGCTATTATTTTACCTGAAGCTGAGGTCTCCCTTTAGATCCAATGCGGGACATAAAAAAAAAGCTTTCACCCGAACTAACCACCGTTCGGCAGAAGCTTAATTAAGCTTGTCGTAAAACTGGCTAAAACGGAGCTTCCCAATTCAATTATTTTATCACGTCTCCCATCATGGGTTGCAGTCTTCAAAATCTCCCCATAAGAGCAGTTTGGACAAACTATACTAGGATGTTAAAAAAAAAAAAAAATCTATTTAAAATTAAGTATAGCAGGTATGGATCACGGAGTATATTTTAAATAATTTTGAGTAACATATTTTTTTATCAACACCACTTTCAAAATCACCCAACAGAGATAGGGTTACCGTAAAGCACACTTTTCGAAACTGACATTTATTAACGAATCCGTTTTATCACGAGCCATTTATTGTCTGCCCATGGGAGACACGCTGGTAAATATAGAGAATGAATGAAGGAGGACGTGATAGTAGCCAGCTAGGACGAGAAACGTAACTCAATAAAATTGACCAAGTTACAGGAAACAGCCCCTCTGGCCCTTCGGCCATTTCTCCTGTCGACCGCTATAACACAAACCTAATTCCCGTTCCTAATAACCTAGCTCTCATGCGAACCACCCTACGAATATTCAGTTCAGCTTAGTCCCTCTTGAGTATACCCCTTAATAATTTCGTACTTTCCTTCATCCACTTTCAGTACTCCGAACCCCACAATGCAAAGACGATTCTCATTTTAAAATACAGCGAAACGTCTCGATTCGCGAATAAAGATACGTTCAATAGCGTCCAGATTAACGAAATCTTAAAGTTTCGCCACTGACAGCGAGTCAATTTTTATTGCGTCTAGCTTTAACAGCGCCATCTAAAAAAAAAAAACAAGCATAAAGAACGAAATTGCAATAAAGCGATATTGGACGATAATCTTGAATTTTTACGAGGGTAAACTTTTACGGTATTTAGCACCGGAAATAAGGTTACCCTTAAAGGGCATCTTCGTCGAGCTTGTGTCGGAATCTTTTGTCATACCACCCACCCCCTCTTTCCCTCCCTAAGAGCCACAACGGAATAGCATGAAAATGTCGCGTACGTGTATCCCGCCAGATATACCTTATTACGTTTATCATTCTTACTCCAACAAAAAAGGACACCTACTTCTTCTTCTTGTTCTTCTTCTTCTTGTGCTTTTTTAGCTTTATGCACCCACGTGGGTCCAAGAGGGACACTCTTAGCTCTCGTAGGAGAAGTCCTATTATTTGTACACTGGTCAGGAACTAATCTGGTTGACGCATCGGTAATCGAGTTGGGGTTGGCCTAAAGTTGAAAAGGGTCTGACACATTGGTTATTACTGTCATCCAGCAAGTCCTATAATTTAATACAACATTGCTTCACGCATTTTTCCCAAGCTAACAGCATTCCCGTATCCGTATCACTGTCCAATCCTATCGCAACCTTCGTACACAACATAATCTGCCTTTACACGAAGGAATTACAAAGGCGTCGTTCCACGTCCGAACGTACGTTACCCAATCCCCAAGATCCTGACATTATGCAAAATCAATTGTGCATTAATAAAAATTTCGTCTTATATCTTTTCTACAACTTTTCTCTACGTGACGTCACGGACGGTTCCAAATAAACAAAGAAATGGATATTCCCAAGAAACACGTAAGACCGAGCCAAGGACGAACTTACGTTAAGCCACTACCTTCATCGATGGACCAGTAACGTTACCAGACCGTTTTTATACATTTTTATAAAGTATTAAGCGGAGTGTAGGAATTTCCTTTGTCAGGGACTGTACGTACGAACGTAACAATTTCCGGTTCCGGTTGCGTGTCAAAGAATCGTCCTACGTGTCTACGACCAGCGGTGGCTATTACTTTTCTTTACAAGGGAAGAAAGCTCGGACACTTGGGCAAGTCCAAGAGCAACCTCACGGGTCTGTGCCTTTGACTTTGAAACGTACCTCTTTGCGCCCTAGCTGGCTTTTGCTCCTGACCCCTTTCATTTCACTTTTTCCGACCCTCCCTCGCCATTTCTTTCCACCCCGTTTCCATCCCCCTTCGCCAGGGGGACGCAGACCATGGACGCACGTAAAAATGTAAAATGAGTGGCTGGCTATGTGTTATTATTCACAAGCGGGTTTTTCCGCTACCCCTGGATGAAGTTCCTAAGCCAGAAATGAGAATTCCTCAAAGCAAAAATTCTACGACCCCCGCGTCGTTTACCGCGAATTTAAGTTACGCCAGTGGATGACGGAAAAATATACGTCCCTGTGCGCATGCAGGGTCCTATCTTCTCGTAAGAAAGTACGTCGTCATTTTTCCTCGGCAAGTGACGATAAACCGTTTACCCGAAGTACCGTAGCCGAGGGAAGCGATAAATAAGTCATGACAAATGAAATAACAGGAGCGAAATGGAGGAGAGAGATTTTCTTAAGCCAATACGACCGTAGCGCACTGAGTTATAGACACAAGGGTGAGACTCTGGTGATAAGGAGTTGAATAAGGGACGAGGTGCGGGATGGGTCGGGGTTTGCAGGAAGAGCTAGAATAATTTCGTAGCGTCAAAAAAAAATTTAATGTAAACTTACCTGAAGCACAGATTTATCAAGGCCCGCGACAAGAGTCGAAGGCGCTGAAGTGGGTGAAGGTGAAGAAGACGCTGAAGAGAACGAAGCCGAAGGGCTAGTTACGACGGGGGTTGAGGATGTCGTCGAGGGTGCAGGAGAGGGTGCTGAGCCTCGAGGGCTCCCCGCAGCTGCACCCACCGACGTAGCCGCCCCTGCGCTCCTTTCCACTTCTGCAACAACAAAGCAGAACAATACTTTCGTTAGAGCAATATTCTATTGAATACCTATGGCGTGATTTCGTGTCTCAAAGAATCACTTACGAAATATGAGTCAAGTGAAAAGATGGATAAACTTTGCAAGACGTACGAATGTGCTGGTGAAATCATATGGTAAAGGAATTTTCAGAGTTTATAAGTCCTCGCGATATTTCAACGTGTTCAAGCGGCATTGTGGCTTCCGTTAAAGAACTAAGTGAACGAACAGTTGAAAACTGGGAAAAACTCTCGGAAAGGGAGAAAAGCAAACTGAACCAAAGAAAAGCGAGATCTTCGTGTATTTCAGTTTCCTAATACGATTGTAAAGTTTTTTGTTTTTTTTTTTTCCCCGATGTCACGTCTCGTGAACTTACGTCACAAGGTTCCCGATAGTTCCGCAACGCAACGTTGTTAAATTGTTACTTAAAAACGCATTACGGCGCTTTAACGACTTAACGCGACTAATGCCTCATTTTTACCCATTCGTTCAAAAACTTTCTTGCTCTATCCTTTAAGACCCTAGTCGAATTATAATTAAAAATGAAAATCGGATTAAAATTTTTTTAAATTTCTCCAACAGACGTATTTTTTACCCGTGAAAAAGAAAATATACAAAAAAACAAAAATATAATTGATTAAAATCTGCAACTGAGTCTTGACTTAAAAAATATGCCTTTTTCAAAATCTCTCTAGATTTAAATTTCATTAAAAATTGCCAGCATCCTTATATTACGTCACAGTTAAAACTTACTTATACATACAAATCTTACGTTATACGTGTAGTACCATGTCATTAATATTTTAGTGGACTCTGACACACCAAGTAGAAGACAAAGTCATTGGCTATATGTACCAAGAGAGTCTAAGACAAAAGAAAATATATATGTATGTACAGTAGCACTTAGAAGTCAACGGTAAGGCTTAATTTTGTAAATAAGTACATAGGTAGGTAAATACATACAATGTACATTCCCATACCAGAGAGGAATATATCGTTACCTATTCGCTTAAGCCAGAGTAGCGGCGACTTAGAACTAGAAGCATAAACCACGAGTGCTCGGAAAGTTCCGTCATAAGTTGCCGAAGCCCTTGGCTGCTTGGAAGGTTTTAGTATGGATAAGGGACAAGAGGAAAAAGCTGTAGGGGCGCAAGGAAGAACGAAACTGCGTGCTGTAATAACTTGCAATGTGGTACAGGTCGTTACAGAGTTCTACGCCACCGTTGCAACATTAAGCTACAGATCGAATAGGAGGGCGCGACAACAAATTACATCGATAAATATACCCAGTTGCTCGTACGTATCTCATTGCGATACGGAAAAAGACGCATTTCGAATGTAAATTTCGCAGTTCAGAAAAGTCATAGCATTTTTCATGATTCGTCAGCAGACTAAATGCGACTTTTATTCTCACTGACGAGTCATTCACGATGATCGTTACTGTTATCGCGCGTGACATTAAATCAGCTAGCTGTGATATCTTTTGAAGTTTTGTCTTTTCAGGAAACGACGGCTCTTCGAGCGACGCCGTCTTATAGCTCAAGAAGTTATACGGGGATTATGGCGGACGTCCCCTGAAGGCTGCCGGAACGGAAAATTTTACTCTCACAGAGCTTTTAACAAAAATATCCTCTGCCCTTGATTACGCCAGTAACAACAAACGTCCCAAATTCACTTGAAATTTCGGTTAATTCAGGTAAACACGCCCACGGCGATGCTTAGAGATTTCTTGCGACAGTACCTCGGCATATGTACCACTGAGAGGCCATGTTGATATGGTTTTCAATGTAAAATAGTCCCCTATATCAAAAGAAAGGAAAAACTGAACAAAAAATAATAGGTATAATTAAATGACAGACAATTCAATGACCAATTAGCATAGTCGACCATAGGAATTTCATGTGACAGATAATACATGAAATGGTAATATCCGTTCCTCCGTTGCTTATTGAAACAAGAATAAGTAAAATGAATATCTATAATTAAAAAAAAAAGTAAGTTTTCATAGATGAGAAATTTTTTTGTTATTTTTATCTATCTGAGGGAAACGTGTTCTTCCGGCAAGACTTATCCGCACCCCTTGGTTTAATCCCGCGGAGAATATGCGTGGTCTAGATGCGGCTCACGTTAGAGAGGCGGAAATTACCCCGTATATTAAGGGTAGAATGAGGTTTGAAATATAAGCGTGCCCATATGTTGAATACTAAACTCGTAGCTTCGAAGGGTAAAGCTAGGCATACGTAGGCACGGTAAGCGATAACGTACGAGAAGGGAGAGAAAAAGAAATGGAGAAAATAAATGCCAAGGTTGCAAATTTTACGGAAGGCTACGGCCGAGTATTATTCCCAGTCAAAATGAGGGGATGACCAGAGAAAACTTATTGAGGACTGGCCGGAGGAAGTGAACTTTTATAAACTAATGCCTCTCGTTCCCCTACATCCTACGAGGCCTCCCACGATAAACACTAGGAAGCTCGTTAGTTCCATAAAACCCACTATTCTATTCTTTACTGACCTTCTTCAAATTCGATTGGCGGACTGTGGGGGATGCTCGATCGGAGCACAATGGAAGCTTTCGGGAAATCGTCAAAGTTCTCGCAATTCCTGACAGAAGCGGCAAACTTTAACGGATCTGAAATTCCTGCCGGTAGTTACAGAGGTGATATATATATATTTTTATATATATAACATAAAATACACCTTGTACATAATGTACCTGTATATATTATATACATAGTATATAACAACTCGAGAGACGTCAATAGAAGCTAAGTATATAAATAACACAGCTACTTCCGGCGGAGTCCGGAAGTTGACGGGCTTTGAAGAATGCCGGAACTAGTAGAAGGGTTGTTCGATTCACCATCCGGAATGGGGATGTAACAAGAACACCGTAGGGTAGTAGCTGCGAGTGCTGTCAGAAAGAGGGGGGAGCGGGAGAGGTAGAGGGGGGCAGAGAGACAAAGAATCTTTATTTATTTAGCTCCTGGCTACTCATCTTCCATTGCCTTACTTACCATTCTTTGCTTTAACGTCGTAAACCCAAAACTTCTAAAATTTGGTTTATCGGCGTACATCTACTGTACATCTACTAATTTTGAGCTTTTTGTGATCAGTCCATTTTTTACGTGTCCATATATATTGCTAACGTATTGCAGTACTCGAAGTGTTGTGCAATTATTGTCTTATATATTATTGCTTGTGTATTGGGTGATAAATCCTTCCCTATCCTATACAGGTAACCCGTTTTCTTAACAATTTTCTGTACTGCCACTTGTTCAGCAAATTTTAGACGGTTATTAAGAGGGGGAGGGGGGGAGGAAGGGAGGGAGATCGGCTTAAGCGTCTGTCCGTCAGCTTGCTTGGCGGAGATAAGTGATGTGACAGACGGGCTTTGGATGTAGGGGGGAGGGGGGGGTGAATGAGAGTGATAGATTACACTCCATCACCCACTGACACTATTCTCCTAGAAATGGTCGGGGTCGAGAGGGGGCAGGGGGGGGAGATAGAGCTTTCAAGTAATATCTGAAGCAGATCCCTGTATTTTACAAGCATCCAGCATCACTGACTACTAGATCTACATATATTCTGACTCTACGGGGATGAAGATATGCCAAGATTTGGACCCTAATGAGAGTTACGTTTCTCTCGATATTCCTAGCCAGTGAGACTCGTTCGTTCTTATATCGATCGACTAGAAAATCCTGCCCGTTGTCAAAGAAGGATAATGCTCGTTGGGACATTGGAGACTGATGAGCAGGACAAAAGATGTAAGAATGACAGAGAGAAAGAGTGAAAAAAAAATAAGAACCTCGTAAGATCATTTAATAATCTACATGGATACTTTAAGATCCTGTTAAGCATAATGGTACAGGATGAAGGGGAAAAAAGTCGATAAGACAATTGAATCAGGATATAACGTATTATGTAGTTTGATAAATGTTATCAATGGGGTTATATATTGATTATGTATTACGTTGGTATAACGTGTTTTATATAGAAAAATTGTATGGTCTGTACGTATCTGTGGACTTTGAGAAATGTTTAATATTAGATTTTTTTTTTTTTTTTTTTGGTAACATTATGATTCATGTCACGCATTTCAGCCTCCTCATGTGACGGATAATGTCTCGTGGCCCCCATTAATTAATGCTGGAACGCTCGCTTGAGGTCGATAAAGGAATTTAAACAGAACTGGCGACATTAGGGCTCGTACCATCCGCGCGTACCTGTTAATCGGTCTTCGTACGTGTGTACGTGCATTAAAATAATGTGGTTAAACGACGTCCGCGGTAGAGAGAATGATTGATCGTTGGCAATTTCGTAAGGAATTTAAAGTCCCAGGGTTCCCTGGGTTTTCCGGGACTCCCAGCGCCCTCGGGATCTCACGGATTCGCTGGGAAGCGCCAAAGCACGGTGCTCGGTAAGCTCGGCTTTAAAAGAAAAGCTCCACGTTGGAAATACGAAAACGCGTAATTAGTATTATGGTCCTTCGTTAAGAACCAAAAATGGTTTCGCGGAAGGCGGACGCCTAGCGAAATGTCAAACAAAAGTTTTGCCTAATACAAACAACTTGTTGCAATTCATTAAAATTTTGAAATTGTTTCTGTGTCCTATAATCAGGTGCAGGGGGCGCAAGTCAGCTTTGATCTTTATTTTAATTGAAAATATTTTAATATCAAAATACTTAATTGCTAGTAGACGTCAAAAAGTCGGTCTAAAGTATTATGCAAAGTGGAAATGGTTTCTAATTCTTCTGACGAACGAAAATGTACAAGACCTTGTATGAGCCTGACGCTAATCGATTGTCCTAACAGATGGCATATAAAGACGGGATTATCAGGCTCAAGGAGACAAAACGAGAGGTTATCCCTAATATCCTAAATTAACCGGATAGAGGAACGATGAGGTAATTTATGGAGATTAAACTAAAATATGTCCTTTTTTTTTGGTGATAATTTCTGTAACTGGAATTAAAT